GGAATGGGTGGGAGGGGGGGAGGAGTTGTTATCTCAGGGAGCAGGAAAGAGGGGAAAAAAGAATGAGACTGAGAAAATGTAAGAGTATGTAACCCAGAAGACAGCAACATGTTTTCAGAAAGAATTTTCGAATTGGCTATGTCTCCTAAAAGTCCATGGTAGAGGTGACAGGAGAAGGGAGAATAATCATTTGTGGCTCCAGTCTCCCATTGGTCAAAGTCACCTCTACAGGGCATCATATCCTTCATAGTACAGGGTCACTGCTGCATGGCCACTTATACAGCAGTCTCCTGCCTCAGCTGCAACAGAGAAACCCACAGCGGGGGGGGGGGATGGTATATCACCTCTTTAAGATGTGTATTTCACCACAGTTACTAGTGTAAAAAAGATATTTGAAATTTCCAGAAAACGTTCTAAAATTTAAAATATGGGCCAAAGAAATTATATTTTTAAAATGTGCAACCCAGAAGTAGCCATCCCTAATTTTAAACCCTAAAGAGACTTTTGCAAATGTGCTAAGATGACATACATATGTACAAGAACCATAAAATGCAACATTGCAAAAGCAAAAAAAATTTAAAACACCCAAAGATCTACCATCAGAATAAACATCTTACAATGGAATATTATACAGCAATACAAATATTCTAGAGCTGCACACATCAACTCCGATGAATCTTACAAATAAAACATTAAGCAAATAAGAAAACTGGAATCAAAATAATGCCATTTACATAAAAATGTAAAAAGCAATAGATGTTTAAGTATACATACATCTGTAGTAAAAGTGTAAAGACATGAATAGGGATGTCTAAATTTAAGATAAACTATAAATTTAATAGAATGAAGAGAAGAAAGGTATAGAGGGGTTCTAAATGTATTTGTAATGTTTTATATTTTAACCTGGCCTGTGGGTTCACGGGTGTGCTATTATTCTTTGCACTTTTGATATATTTTGTGAAATATTTTTAAGGCAAGATTAAGAAAAGTTAGCTTTACTGAATTAGAAACTTTGTTCAGAATATTATTGTTGTGTTTGAAATTTGATCTGTAAACAATAACCTTTCATGTCCAGAATACCACACAAATTGAGGTATTCGGTTGGTAAAATTCCAGATACATTGGAATAATAATGCTCAATTTTAAACTGTATTTTTGCTTACATTTTTAATAAGAGAATATAAAGCACAATTGGAGAAACTGGGAATTGTAGCACTTAAATAGCTATCCTTCCTGAATGACTACAAAAAAAAAAGGGTTATCTCAAACTTATGGACCAATATGGATCTTACAAAGAGCGATATTTTATTAATAGCATGTTCCCCTTACTTAACGGCCCTAATATATTCCACGTGAAACAGTGAGGTGAACAGTGTTCACCCTATCTGTGAACAAAACAGTAGAATACGAATGATGACAGATAGCAAACATTTATTGCTCTATGTACCAGGCACTGTGCAGAACACTCTATGCATGATTATCTCATGTAATCTTCACAATATCCCTTGAAAGTAGGTAACCATTATTATCCTAATTTTATAAGAAACTGAGGTAACATGCCCAAGATTGCCTAACCAGTGAGCAGTACTGGGAGCCAAAATTTGATTTCAGGTTGTCTAGATTAAGAAATACTGCATTATGTTACCTCTTTATGGATTATACTTGTAGTACCTTAATAAAATTTCAAGGCCAGCCCCATTTTCAAGTATTTTGCACCACTGTCCTATATATACCCTCAATGTTTTCACACCATTTGTTCTGATTTAGGGGGTTAGTAAATATGGTCACCTTGGGTACTATGGAAAAAGGACCCAGGAGACCTGGTCTCATTCTCAACTGCCATTAGCTTGAGCAGTTTGAGACAAATCTCTGGGCCTTATTTCTTCAAGAGAGAATACTAGATGATATTCCTTGAGGTCCTTCTCAACTCCAAGAGAGAAAAAAAACAACACTTTAAAAGGTACCCACAGCTAGTGACATCAACATCATAATAGTAAGAAGACGCCTTTGTTTCTTACCTTAAATTTATAAGTCAGACAATGATAACAAAAGCTCTCCTGCTCAATACACGAATATGCCTTTAGGATCCATGCATTGGGACACCTGAAGCATTATTTACAATAGCCAAGACACAGAAATTCTGTGTTTTTGACAGCCGATTAGATAAAGAAGATATGGTACATATATACAGTGGAATACTACTCAGCCATAAAAAGATGAACTATTGCCATCTGCGACAACATGGATGGATCTTGAGATATTATACCTAGTGAAATAAGTCAGAGGAAAAGCACAGGAACTGATTTTATTCATATGTGGGATATAAAACAAAAAGCGACAAGTGAACAAACAAAAACTTATAGATATGGACAACAGAATGGCAGTTACTAGAGGGGTGGGGAGAGAACAAAATGGGTAAAGGGGGACAAATATATGATTTTGGAAGGAGACCAGACTTCAGCTGTGAGCACACAATAGAGTATACAGATATTGTATTATAAAGTTGGACACCTGAAATTTATGTAATGTTATTAACCAATGTTACCCCAATAAATTTAATTTTTAAATTAAATTTTAAAAAAGATACCCACAATATCAATTCAATACTAGAGAAAGAAAAAATTTTAAAGTAAAAGTGAATTAGCATTGTGTATTTAATTAATTTTGGTGTTTAAAAACTTTTTATACAAAGACTTAGGGCTATAAAACTTGGAAAATACTTAAATGCCTCTAAAAATGTCTATGAACTAGTTTATCAAATAGTTTTATATAAGAAAAAAGTCAAAATAATTTTTCCTGAATTGCTGTGCACATAATACTCCTTTCTTTTCTTAAATTTTTAGAAAATTGGGCATGAAACAATACCTAAACCTGCTTCTTGGCAAGGCATCAGGACAGAGCTATTGCTGAGAGTTTGATTTATAGAGAAATCATGGTTCGACTGACCTTGGATCTCATTGCCAAAAACAGCAATCTTAAACCCCGAAAAGAAGAAACCACTTCACAGTACCTAAAGAAAATAACTCATATAAATTTTTCAGATAGAAATATAGATGCAATTGTAAGAACTCTGAAATTATTTCTTATTTTTATATAATCAACTATGTAAATTTAGAAATTGGGTGTCAGGGCATACCTTTTTAACTATATTTTTATTATACTTATTAACTCTATTTTCATTAGCTAGCTTTATATTATATTTGATTTTAATTTCCTGCTTGTGATGTTAAACTTATTAATATCAAGTCTCTATAAAATATACCATTGCGACTGTTAAATAAATGTGTTTATAGATGTTCCTCTAAAATACTCTTTAGTGTAGCAAACAAGATTTAAAGGTATATGTTGGAAAATAATTTCAAAGATAATTACTTATATATAATGACAGAACCTTGGAATATGAATTTTTTAACATATCAAAATATTAGGAATTAAATATGTAAATACTATATTTCATAACTTTAACAGTGAAATCTTTTTTTGCACATAATTTAACTGGTTAGATAAATGTGGGTTATAATCTGTCAGTTATATTAGACAATATTGTTTACTTGGATATAATCTGAAACGACATTTTCTCTGTGTTAAGCCAATTCTTGATGTTAATTTTGGAAACTTTAAAGGCAACAATAATCCATTTAAGCCATTTGTATTGGTATCAATTTCTATAGTAAAATGCTCAAGACTATAGATGAGAGAAAAATTCTCAGAAACATATAAGCTACCTGAGGCCATCTGTATTGGTATCAATTTCTACAGTAAAATGCTCAAGACTATAGATGAGAGAAAATTCTCAGAAACGTATAAGCTACATGAGGGCAGGGGTCATCTCTATTTTGTTCACATCACCCTAAATCCCTCCATCCAATACTGTACCTGACTCATATTTAGTGCTTAATAAATATTTGTTGAATGAATGAATGAATGAATGAACACTAAAGCCCCAGTCAAAACTGTCAATAAAGATGGTTGGGGTTTTTTTTGCAGAGACCCTACCCAGCTCCCATTCTGTATCTCTTTCCAGTTTCTTGGTGAGCCTTCCTCTCATGAATCCAATTGCCAAAAACTCATATTTCTCTTTTGTGGCCTAAAGCTCTCTACTTCATCACACCATGTACCAGCTGCTTTCTCCTGAGCCTCCATTTAAGATTCTTTGGCTCCTCAAAAATCAATGCTCCTTCAGTGTAGATGGCCTTTGTTGGAGGAAAGCAAACTGATGGAAAGTAATTCACACTAACATAAGAATAATTTGTAAACTTGAAGTTCCCAAGATGTGGTTGTATTTTAAAAGATCTTACTTAATGAAAGCTGAAATACTTTTGAGCAAAACTTCACTCTATCTCTTGCCTACTTAGTCTAGGCTGACTCTACCACCACACAAGAAATGACAGCCTTTTAGAATTATTAAATTATTTTATCTTAAAGGGAATTGGTGTTCATTTGTATAAAATACAGATAAAAGAAAGAGATTGACTTGTAATTCTAGCATGCAGAAAAAATCACTATTAACATGTAGGTAATGTCCTTCCAGTCTTTTTTCTAGGCATATATTCACAACAGTGGGTCACTGAAAATACTGTGCTCATTTTATTATGAGATCTACAAGATATTACTAAAGAAACTAAAGGATATTTAATGGTTATATGGTATTCTATTTGCTAACATATTTATTAATGTTTTTTAATACAATGTTTATTAATACATTGTTCTTGAATATCTAGATGACTTCCAATTTTCAGTATTATGAATCTCAACAGTTTACTTCCAATCCTACAGAGAGATTAAGCCCTGATTTATACTGTTGGAGGAATAATTTATCAAATGCTTCAACTTCCAGAGGAGCCTGCTTCCAAGAAAAATCTTTTCCTCGGAAAAGATTTCATGCATTGGGAAAATCTTTCTTAATAAATGCAATTTTATTGATACAGTTACAGAATACTGAAACCTAGAACTAATTTTGTAATCATTCTAGTCTTGTTTGGACTATGCTAAGAACAAAGAAATACTGTTCTTTTATATCAACCTTAAGGACATTTACAGAATGATTAAGTGAAAACTTTTTTAAAAATAAACTAAGTTTTCAGGAGAATTAATTTAAATATGACTTGTTTTTGTTTTCCTTTCAGGATAACCTCTCTCTTTGCAAAAATCTTAGCGTCTTATATTTGTATGATAACCGTATCAGTCAAATCACTAACTTGAATTTTGCCACAAATCTGACCCACCTGTACCTACAAAACAATTATATTTCATGTATAGAGAACCTCAGGTCATTAAAGAAACTGGAAAAACTGTAAGTGCTTTTTTTAAGTAATGTAATTGCCATCATTACAGTAATATTTTTGCATGGAGGTATTTCTATTATCTGCAGTTTTATGGAACAGGCCTCAATCTTTATTCTTTTAGTATTATAAGTACAAAAGAAATTGCTTCAAATGTAATATCCAACATTCTATATTTTAGTAGGCCGGGTATACTTTCCTTTTGCAGCAGGGCAGGTTGTCTTAAAGGCTTATAGGAATATCCAAAAACATCCTTATGTAGTAGGCTTAACTGGTGAAAAAAGTTCCATGGAACCCAAATGAGTTCTGTGCCTTTCAGAATCACACATCTCAAAAGAGCAGGGTCATAGAACTGATAATGTTGATGTAGATTTTATTGTAAAAAGGCATTTACTGCCTATAATGATTTAAATTAAACTATGAAGACTGGTAGATCCAATTTCCCCAGACCGAGTGAGGTGGGAAGTGCTTATTAAAAATGCAGATTGCTGGGGACCAACTCAGAGAGCCAAATCGGAACCTCTAGGAGTTAAGCCCACAAATCTTCATTTTCAAACCTGCAACCCAGGTGATTCTTCTGTACTCTAACATATGAAGAGCACTGATAGTTTAATAAAGATTATTCCAATTCTCTCAAAAAAAAAAAAAAAAAACCTGAACTTAATTCTTAGACTAAACTATGTGTAAGAATCATACAGATAAACCTTTCATTCATTCAATATAAAGAAAACACTCTGCATGTATAATTTTCACACAGCTTAACAATTTTGTAATTATCATGTTTACAGACCACAATGTTCTCAGAATGTCTATTTAAAATTACATCTTATGTTTTACAGGTATTTGGGAGGCAACTACATTGCCGTCATAGAAGGTTTAGAGGGATTAGAAGGACTAAGAGAGCTTCATGTTGAGAGTCAGAGGCTTCCCCTTGGAGAAAAGCTTCTGTTTGATCCAAGAACTCTTCATTCTCTGGCAGTAAGGCCACATTTTGAGTATTTTGACATAGCATATAGTGCTTGACAGTTAAAATGGAACAGGAAGGTGGTGAAAGTGTATTTGGACATTGTACATACTCTGCATGTTTATCTAGCAAATTGAGAGTTTATCTGAGGGCTAAAACTAGTTTTTCCCACATAATTGCTCAGAGACTCAGTAGCTATAAAGTGGGGATAATACCTGACTTAGGGCAATGGAAAGATCAAAAGGAGGATGTTAAAAGGTTATGGAAACTTTGAAGTTCTAACACAGATGTTAACTCATTCATAATTTGGACTTTGGTGATTATCATGACTAGAATTTTTAAATTTTAGGAAAAAGCCTAAGGAAAGAGACGTGCACAATTATTTGGCAGATTTTAAACAACCTACAGAATCATTACAATGATAAGTCACTTTCCTGCTGGATTCTGATTTGACTGTCGGTTGCAATGCATACAGCTTTGCCTCACCAGAAGCAGGTAGATCTGGAAGCACTGGATTTGATGCTTCAGGAGTTACCTGACAACCAGTGACACATCACATGGAGCTGTCACAATGACTTGAGAAGCCAGAGGGAGCCATGGAGGCTTTGCTAATCCTCAGGGTTTGTTAGGATACACTACCTTCAATTCTGGGCAAGGGAAGGAAATGGAAATGTCATTGGTTTTATTTATGGAGGGCTTAGAAATGGAGGGCTATAAGGTTTGAATCAAATGCATGACAATTAAAGAACAGTGCTTTAAGTTGGAAAAGAAAGAAGTGACCTGATTTCTATCCTACCCCTTTTATTCTCCCCATAGAATCTACTTCACCTGATCCAAGCAGACTGACGCCACTGTGGGGATGGCTAGTTTACTACAAAAAGCCACTGAAAATATTTTTGCTTACTCAATTTTTGCTTATATTCAAGCAGATTCTGAAATTCTAAATATAAGGCATAATTTTTCAAGCTTTAAGTCTTAAAAAGTGTTTGGAAGTGTCTTCTATGTATGTCAGCTGTGTGTGGATGCCTACATGGGTAGGCACCATCTTGGCAGAGATTCCTGGGCCTTAGATTTTAAGATGGCTTTGATTTAGTGTTGCTCTATTATATAAATTTTGTCCTTATTAATACTTAATGTTGAAATTCTTGTTAATTAATTATTACTCTAAGTGGTTTCTGAATGTATGGATTGTCAAGAAAAAATTATATAAAGAGATAAAGATAAAAACAAACACCAGATATTCTTTCATGGTTAATGTTTCTTATTTAGAAAAACTAAGATAAAAATAATTTCTTCCTATGTAAGTACAAATCTTAGCAAAATTAAACACAAAAGGAAATTTGCTTAAGCTGAAATTAGCATATTTTCTAAATTATGTTATCATTTGTTTATTGGGGCATCTTCTTTTTTACTTCTTGATTCTTGGCTTCTTTTTGCTATAAATTTCTCTTATACCCTGATCAAACTTATGAAAAATAGTAAGTTATCTCACAATTACTATAGTTTTAAAAGTTCCATCTGAAAAAAATATGACATAGAGACAGAATATCCATCGCTTTTTGTTTTCTTGCTTAAAGAGTAAAACAGCCTGAACCGATAAATTTAAATATTTCACAGATTAGGATTTCTGGTTCCTATCTAAGGTTTTAATCAGACTATTTTCTAATACTAATTATTTCCTTACAGAAATCTCTCTCTATATTGAACATCAGCAATAATAATATTGATGACATAAGAGACCTAGAAATACTGGAAAATCTTAATCAGCTTATCGCAGTTGACAACCAACTTCTGCATGTGAAGGTAGTGTAAAGAAAAAGTAATTGAAAAATATTTACATGAAATTGTAATTGAAATAGCCGTAAAATGTGTTACTTTAAAAACTGTTCTGGATTTGGTAAAACTAGCTTATGAATCTCTACTTCTTAATGTATTATTTGCATATTTCTGCCTCCTTGGCTAGTTTTCTCCTCCGTACCCCAGTGCCTCCATCCCTCAGCAACAGAAAAAGTTTCTGTGAGAAGGAAGTATATGCTTTTTCCTGTTTTATTTTTCCATCAAATGTTTCCCTTTAGAGACTAGATTTTTTGCCTATTAACTCTGATCTCCCAACGAATGAGTTTCTAGTAACTGTGACTAGACTTGAACTCTCTCCTGGGCTGCTCCTTCTTAGGGAAGCACCTTGATCTTGAACTTGCTCTAATTTGCGCTGGCTGTGTTCATGTCATGTTCTATCATATCATGCCATATTCATTCATTCAAATATGTATTAGGCACCTACATATTTGTCAAGCATTGTACTACTTGGTGTAGAACAGAGGAAAGAAAGATACAGTCCCAGTGCTCAAAAAACTGTAGTCAACAAGTAACAAGACAACAATGTAATTCTGTTTTTGTAAGTATGACGGTAGCACTAACTCAGCCTGGGGCTAAAGAAAGCTTCCTAGAAACAGTCATCCATGAGCTGAGCCATCGCCATGACTTCACAGTTTCTGGTTTGGCACTGTGGTAGAATTTATTTAAGTGGGACCCAAAGAATTGGCTTCTTTCTCCCATAAACAGAGGTCTTATTTTCAAAACTACTTCCAAACAGCTATCTACTGACCCTAAAAAAGTTACCCCTGGTCTTGTTTGCAAATTCAGACCTATTACCTGGCTCATCCCATAACTACTGTAAACAGTAGATGAATATGAAAATAAGTATTATATGTATTCCACTATAAATGAATTTCTCAAAATATCTAAAATGCTATTGAACGATCAGGGTGGATGTTTAAAATAAAAAGACCAATAAGAAAGCATGATTCAGTGAATTGTTTCAACTTACATCATGAAGGATGTAAGGAGTTCATGGTGTTAATTCTTCATTCAAAAATATTTTTAATTTTAGAGTGTTCTATATACTTTTTTCCATTGGGCATTTGTGTTCATCAGATTTAACTTTCCTATGATTTTGCAGTATTTGCCTCAATATTATAATTTTGTGATAGATGGGTAGTCTTCTATCAGATATATTATATGTATAGTATAGGATTAAAGCCTGGAGTCTTTAATTAAGTAGAGAAGACCTGGGCTGTGCACAGTGTCCCACATTTGTCCCATGGGAAATCAGAACAGAGTGGCCAAGCACAGAAGCTTACCTTTCCTGGGGAGAGAATGGTAGACAATTCCAGTGTCCCAAATTGGCATCAATCTTAAATTCAAGCTGAGTATTTTCCCTAAATGTTTTTGTAAGCCCAGGTTATAAACACGAAGCTTGGCAAATAAATATTCAGTAAATATATGATTATATCTTCAAAGATCTGGTTAGTTGTTAATTATCAGAATTACTAAGATTCATTTCCATTATTGTTATTACTTTTAAAGTCTTATTCTACTGGATAAAAATACTAGTATCCAAATGATCCCAAAGGAAGTTTTTCTCAATGACATTAAGACCAAGCTATTTTGCCTACAATGATTATTCATAGGCCATGTTAATAATGTATAACCAGGATAAATGTATAACCAAATAAATATCTTTATTACTGTTGATTACTCACTCTAATGGCCAATATTTAAATAACCAAATCCTTATTATTTAAGACTTAATTCTGTGCCACCCCAATATCTAAATAACCAAATCCTTATTTTTTAAGACTTAATTCTAATTCTGTGCCACTTCCCTTGTGTAGCTTTTCCTGAACCTCTCCATCAAGTTAATCTATTTAAATATACCTATTATGTGTGCCAGGCACTGTTCTAGACCCTTAGAGAAACATATTCTAGGCACTGGGGATACCATGATAAATAAGGCAGACAAGGTCTCTGCCCTCAAGTAGCTTACATTACAGGGGAGGGAATGGTCAGTAAAATAAATAAGCAGAAAGGTTGTGAAAGGTGCTATGAAAGAATTAAGTAGAAGGACAGAATGGAAAAAATCAGGTTATCAAGAAAGGCCACTGAGCAAATGACATTAATGCTAAGATCTAAAGGATGAGAAAGAAATCTGTGCAGAGACCAAGGGAAAGAACATGCCAGGCATAGGGAACAACAGATACAAAGGTTCTTCACACTACATATAAAGGTATATAAAAGTTAAAAGTAAAATGATGGGAAAATATATACAATACAAACACAAATAACAAAATAAAAAACTTGAGTGGCTATATTAACATACGACAAAATAGACTTCAGGACAGGAAATATTACCAGAGATAGATCAGGAAAATTTCATAATGATAAAAAGTACCAGTTCATCAAGAAAACATAACAATCCTCAATATTTCTGCACCAAATAACACCTACAAAATGCATGAAGCAAAGTGACAGAAGTAAAAGGAGAAATAGACAAACCCATAATTATAACAAATATTTCAACATTCTCCTCTAAGTAGTTAATAAAATAAGTCGATGGTAGATCAGTAAGGTTATAAAAAACTGGTACAACACAGGCAACCAAATTGATCTAATTGATTCTTAAATAACATTCCACCTAACAACATTTGGAATGATCACCAAAATAGTCCATATTCTGGGCCACAAAGCAAGCCTCAGTATGTTGTCTGCCACAAAGGAAATAAATTAGAAAAGAATGAAGGAAAGATGTCTTTAAAAATTTTGAAATATTTGGAAATTAAAAAACATACTTTTTAGGAACCTGTGGGTCAAATGAAATATTACAAGGGAAATTAGAAAATAATTAGACTGAGTAAAAATGAAAATGAAACATTTGAAAATTGGTATAATGCAGTAACAGAGTATTTAGAAATTTATAGCTTTCACTGCTTATATTAGATAAGGAAAATGATCTAAGCTTCCACCTTAAGAAGCAAGAAAAATAAATGCAAATTAAATTCAAACAGAAGGAAATAATAAAGATAACAGCAGAAATTAATGAAATAGAAATATAGACAACCAATACAGAAAAATCAATGGAGCCAAAAGCCGATTCTTTGAAATTTCAAACAAAAGTAAAAATTCTAGGTAGGATGATCAAGAAAACAAAGAGAGAAGACATAAATTAATAATATCAGAAATGAGAAAAGGTATCATTACATTTAAAAGGATAATAAAGGAATGTTGTAAAGAACATTTAAAAAAAATACCATTTATAATTCACATCAAGACACATGAAATACCTAGGGATAAATTTTAAAATATGTGCAAGAGCTGTACAATTAAAACTACAAAACACTGTTGGGAGAAATTAAAGAAGACCTAAATAAATGGAGAGAGATATCATTTTCATGGATTGGAAGACTATATTCTGAAAGCGCTAATTCTTTCCAAATTAATCTACACATTCAACACAATTTCAATCAAAATCCCAGCAGATTTTTTAAAAGAAATTGACAAGCTAATTCTAAAATTTATATGATTCTGCAAAAGACCTAAATACCAAAACGATATCACTAAAAAGAATAATGTTTGAGAACTTTACCTGATTTCATATTTTAATGTTACAATAATTAAGACAGTGTGGTATTGGCATAGGATGGACACACAGATCAAGGAAACAGATTAAAGAGTTCATCAATAAATCTGTACGTAAGTTCAATTGGTTATTTTATAGAAGTGCCAAGATGATTCAATGAGGAGAAAATAATCTTTCAACAGATGCTGGTGGAATAACTGGATATCGAAATAGAAAAAGTGAGCCTTCACCTTTCATACCATATAAAAAATTTTACTCAAAATGGATCATATCAAAATTTAACTGCTAAAATATAAAACTTTTAGGAAAAAATAGATTGGACAGAGTTCGAAATTTAAAACTTTCACTCTTTGAAAGACATCATTAATGAAATGGTAAATCACAGACTAAGAGAAAATATTAGCTATCATGTATCTGACAGTTTTTATCCAGAACACATAAAGAACACTAACAACTCTATATAAGAAGATGAACAACACATTAAAAAATGGGCTAAAGATTTCAACAGAAACTTTACAGAAGAACATATGATAATGGTCAAAAGACACAAGAAAATGTGCTCGGTATCATTATTCATCAGGGAAATGCAAATAATACAGAAATGTGACACCACTACATACCCACTAGGATGGCTAAAATTAAAGAAACTGACAATATCAATTTTTGACGAGACTGGGGAGTAACTGGAACTCTCACTCATTGCTGAGGAAATTTTTTTTTTACCGCCTATAGTACCTGGTCTTCCTAGGTGGTCTCCCATCCAAGTACTAACCAGGGCCAAAAAAATTTTACTCAAAATGGATCATATCAAAATTTAACTGCTAAAATATAAAACTTTTAGGAAAAAATAGATTGGATAGAGTTCGAAATTTAAAACTTTCACTCTTTGAAAGACATCATTAATGAAATGGTAAATCACAGACTAAGAGAAAATATTAGCTATCATGTATCTGACAGTTTTTATCCAGAACACATAAAGAACACTAACAACTCTATATAAGAAGATGAACAACACATTAAAAAATGGGCTAAAGATTTCAACAGAAACTTTACAGAAGAACATATGATAATGGTCAAAAGACACAAGAAAATGTGCTCGGTATCATTATTCATCAGGGAAATGCAAATAATACAGAAATGTGACACCACTACATACCCACTAGGATGGCTAAAATTAAAGAAACTGACAATATCAATTTTTGACGAGACTGGGGAGTAACTGGAACTCTCACTCATTGCTGAGGAAATTTTTTTTTTACCGCCTATAGTACCTGGTCTTCCTAGGTGGTCTCCCATCCAAGTACTAACCAGGGCCAACCCTGCTTAGCTTCCGAGATCAGACGAGATTGAGTATGTTCAAGGTGGCATGGCTGTAGACTTACTGAGG